AATTAGCAATACTTGTACACATGTATCTCATATCTCAGAAACGGCTCTAACGGTTTGGATCAAATTTTGTATTCAGATAAGTTTTTTTCTTCTTAAGTGTATCTATATGTCTTTTCTGAAAAAAATGCACTATATCTTTTCTGATAAACTCTAGGCGAAGCTTGGTCGCCTAGGTACTAAATAAGTACATAAATATTATATTTTATACACATTAACAGGCATGGAATAATCAAGAGTTGAGAGAAAGGTTGAAAGTTGAAATTTAATTTGCTCAGACTAAATTAGAAGAGATTCAAAGCATTCGTCTATCTTCATATAACGTGACAACACTAATAATGGGATAAAAACAGGGGATAAACCATCTATCATGAAGTGTATGTAGGTGTTGAAACTTCTAGGTAAAGCAAAATTAAACCCAAGTCACGCAATCCTTTTTATTACATGGAATTTTCCTTAGAAACAACAATCAATTTGTCGTTAATTATTCCCATTTGGATCTATTATTGTAATACTAACACTACTAACTATAAATATATATAATAATAATATACGAACTCACAAAAGAATAGTATAGGTTATGGACTTTTCTGAATAAGTTACTCTATGGGGTTTAGTTCACGGGGTAAATAAATAAATATTATTTATATATAATATGTTATTATAAGACTAACGACTTATCCTAGTTTCGCTCGTGTACACCTTTAGAAATAAATGGTTAAAGAACGCAGAGAATAAACGAAAGAAACATTCATTTTCATTTATATAGAAGAATAGGTGCTTAGCAAATTAATTTGTAATAACCAGCTCTAAAAAATATGAGGAACCGTACAGACTCATTCTATGGTAGATGTTTCATGGCATTCCAGATGATATTAATATCTAAGCGAAAAATGCCAGGTGATCTCAACTTCAATATAATCTATTAATAGCCACCTTACAGCGGCTTTCGGCGCTAGTGTGGAGCCATTAATTACATCGTGAAAAAGTAACAAACGGTCAATTAATTGCTTTGAACTATTTAAAAGAGCTAAATATTTAGAACTGGGTATTACAAACAAAATATTGCTATAATTAAAAAAATTCAAAATAAATAAGAACAAAGTCGTATAAGTAAAGTGTACACTAATATTAAAAAACGTATGTGTAATAGTATTTATTTAGATATACGTACGTACTTATTTACGTATTCTATACTTACATATGTATGCTGTTGATATATATGGTAAACTTTTTATGCTTTTACATTCCAAAGTTTCCATGCGACGATAAAGTGTTACCAAAAGTTGTTTAAGTCTTACACTGAACGCGTACACAAGCAAAACGAGAGCGTAATAGAAATAGGTATTCGAAATAAAAAAAACTGTTTTAGTACAATTGAGGAAATTATACCAACTCTTAAACGTCATTTGAATATCTAGATAAATCACAGTTGGTATGTCACTGCGGAAAACAGCTCGTTTTGCCCTCATAATAAATAGCTCTCCGCTCCGGACGAATTAACGCCGATTTCATTATCATTAACATTACTCTTTCTCCATTTTGACATGATTTATGTCTACTATATATGATGAATGGGATTTGCAAGTTTAAAACAACATCACAGAAACTGTAGTGGTAAACAGAAAAAAAGCATATATAATTTATCCTACAAACGAAAGCTAATGACAATTTAGTGTTGCGCAGTAAACCAACTAATAAAGTAACTTTACTGAATTGCGAACAAATTAGCGATGATAGAGTGAGCTGTATCTATCTAATACCTTTGAACAAACAATTCTTGTATATTTATTTATTTATACCGGCAATCTCGGAAACAGCTCTAACGATTTCGCTGAATTTGGTATGTGGGGGTTTTCGAGGGCGAAATAATCGATCTAGATTAGTCTTATGTCTGAGAAAACGCGTGTTTTCGAGTTTTCATGCGATTTGCTTTCGCACTATTCCGCGCAAAATATGATCGCTAATTTCGCCCACTTGGGTATAAACATCGTAGTCACGCGGCCAAGGCGCAAGGTGCCCGGGTTCGAATCCCGGTTGATTACAAATTTTTACTTTTGTGTTTTATTTGTTTTTTTTAATTCTCTAGCTTAAATTTTAAGTTATATAGATTATTATGAAAAAAATACGATATAACAAAAAAGAACTCCGAGCAAAGCTCGGTCGCCCATTTACTTAAAATAAACTGACTACTTTGGACTGCATATAACATTACTATTGTGACCATAAAAGATTTTTCAATTTAATTTCGTCTTAAACAGGCAAATTTAATGAGACATCTTAGACGTCTTAATAATAACATCTGTTTGATTGACACGTACGAAAATTACGACGGATACCTTCATCTCTGAGACAGCAATGCTTTAATATCTCGTTAATTCAAATTTACCGTTAAAATATAATTCGAAAACTTTTTTTTAAGTCAAATCAGATATGCATTTGCACAATTATTTTTCGCTTAGCCTCAGTTGTCATCTTAATCTTTAATAGGATTACTTTCGCGCGTACTGTACTAAGTTGCAATCCCACACAATCTAACCATGTTTAAAAGCAATCATTCAACTGTACTTCCGTCCTCCACAGTATAATCTTCCCACACTTGATAAATATATTTAACGAGAAATTGTTTGTAGTTTCATGTTTTAATTATTTCAATATTCAGCTGAAAATTTCATGCATATGATATGCATGAAAATTTCAACTTATGGTATCATACTTATGTTGACATTTGTTTAAATGAAGCCTCGTATTACGTTGTTATTAAGCTTCTTAAGCTGCTGCATCTGCCTTATCTTATACAGAGAAAGCGAAGAAGTTGAAATTACGCCCTCTCAAGATCATAGCCCAGACATAATATTAATAAACATTAGACAATAATAGCGAACCGTTTATACTAAAGAAAATGTACTAACTGGGTTCAAAAGATTATCTGTATAAGAAAAAGAAATATTTGAAACTCAATTGTCTGCCGAAGCAATTGACAACGAAAGATTGTGCGCATGTAATTACGAGTATGAACGGCCTCCAAAATGAAACGATATCTGAAAACTTCTGCGTTCCTTCGTCTTTGTGCAAATACGGACTCACTTATTTACTATTTAATTTTATTTAAAGCTGTTTGCCAAATATCAGCCAAATATTCCTATCTCGACTAATAGCATATATTTCTTATATATGTTTTTTTTTTAATACACAAAAATTGAACAATAATTTAAATTAATTTCAAAAAAAAAATTTAAAGTAATTTCCATTCCGATTTTCCTCAAATCCATATACCTTATACAACGTAAAATTTACAGGCACATAATTATCCTCCCACACACTTTTCTATCTCAATTATAATATTAGGGTGATTCTTTTCTAAAGGACTTAAATATTCTATTGAATTTGCATAAACTAAGATCTCATAATCTATCTATATATATAAAAGGCAAAAGTAATTGACTGATGTATCAACGCACAGGCCAAACCCTTAGGGCTAGAAACTTAAAATTTCGCACACGTAAATTCCTCTCATAACGTAAACATCCACTAAGGAAGGATTTTTTAAAATTTTACCCCCAAGGGGGTGAAGTAAGGGATAAAAGTTTGTATGAAACCTACCTTTTTAGAGATTTTGTTTGTAGTTTTAGCGCGAGCGAAGCCGCGGGTTCTGCTAGTAGTAGTATATATAAAGGAATATTTTTATATAATAATTATATAAAAATACTTATTAGAGGCAGTGGTAGCCCAGTGGTAACACGCTCGCTTGGGACACCGTGTGAAGCGGGTTCAAATCCCGGGTCTCGCACCTCTGATATTTTCATGTGCGAATCATTTCTAACATGATTACCGCTTGCCTTACGGTGAAGGAAAACATCGTGAGGAAACCTGCATGTCTGAGAGAACCTAGCAAGTTTTCGAAAGACATGTGAAGTCCGCCAACCCGCACTTGGCCAGCGTGGTGGACTATGGCCTGATCCCCCTCGTATTGAAGGGAGGCCCGTGCCCAGCAGTGGGACATTAAAAAGGGCTGAATACATACATACAATACATACATACTTATTAATAATTACTTTGCTTTTGTTTTATCAGTAAAATACCTTATTTGCGACTAATTAAAATAATAAATTGACAAATATGTAAATAGTTATAACAGATTACACCCTGTTAATATTTCCATCTAAGACCTTAAATCTGCACAAGTTAATGTTAATGCGTATATTTACCTTAAATCTCCATTTACATAAACAGCATTTAGTATGGGATTTTATGAATTATTCATTATATTATATTACTTTCAAATTATTTTTTATAAATAACCGTAGCGGGCGATATTAGGGCGCTACAAACTTACATACTCGTATTACAAATTGCCTTTTAATGTAAGCTTATAAGAGTTTCAAAAAAATTTCATTGTAAAATGTATAATATATTATAAGAAACCTTAGAAATTTAACGTTCCGATATTATCACCGATAAAATTTGTTTTATTTTTCCTTTTTTCCTTTATTATCAAACAACACTAACATTTTTTTAGATATATAACATTACAACACTGAGGATTGTGTTTACGATCATGATTTCAAATTTACTCTAATTTTTAAGCACATTCCTCGAAGAAACCTTATGTATTGGAAAATAGTTCTATTGTTTTTTTCACTATAAGCGGATAGTTGTAAATCAATCATGAAACGTGCTCCAAATTAACGCTGTTCATTTCAATCAGGTTAAAGAGTTAAGCTAAGAGAATCGCTTATATTGATTTAAATTTCACCAAACCCTGTTTTTTCTCTTCTAAAGACTAGAGATGCGGGTTCGACTCCCTCTCTAGACATATTTTAATTATTGAGACCTTTATCTCTATATGTTCTGTGTAAATTTTTTGGATTGCGAAGTTTTATTTACAAGTTTATTTTATTGTTTCAGATTGCGAATTTATGAATGAAGATAATGTGAAGTTATAAGTGTAGTTATAATTTATTGTGTTTTAAAAATGCGACCATTAATTTTAGTGAATAACAATGACGCTCCGTCGATGTGACAGTTTGCCCGCAAAACTTAGGGAGGTGCCGATCTCCAACTGTGAAATTTCTCAGCCTTTGACGAATAAAATATCCGATTCCAACACTGACCCAAATTTCACTGACGCGGTTATCCGAGACGAAGTTATCGCCACTTGGAAATCCCTTCACACCGACATCAAGAATATAAAGAATGGCTTTCCTACAAAGAATGAGCCCTCAAACTATGGTTTGGATAAAAGGAACTCCATTACACACAAATTTAGTCCAAAATTCGCACGCAACAATAGAGAAAGGCAAAAGAAAATCACTTATCATAATAGGCACATCGCGGTCGGCGCCCAAGACGCCGATCGGAGCTCGTCATTTCCTCTGGACACGGGCCAGAGGTGTTCAATTGATAATAAAAAGAATAATTCGGCACGACGAAAGACCTTACTGGAACGCCTACTTTCTTGGAGAACTCCAGAATGTGACTGTCATATTAAATATCCTAATATTCATCCAGCGCCTAAGACAACAGCTGAAGATGTGTGTACGTGTGGCGTTTTGCAAACCAATAAAGTGAACAATCAGAGTAAATATGCCGAACGAGGACGCTCTAAAAGTGTAGGGTACGAGGCAGCGCGTGAAGTGACTCAATTCCGCCGGTTAGTCCTTTGTAAACGTAGGCTAAGCCATAGTTTTGATTTGCGATGGATGTGTGTATGATTAGTGTATTTTAATGTATGATATAATAGGTGCGCTAGCGCAGGCGCCACGGTGGGTGCGGAGACGGCAGCCGCACTGCGAGCCCGCGCCGCTCTTACTTTAGCACGGCGATACTACCCCGAAGGAGGATGGGGATGGACCATTACAATCGTGGGCACAATAGTTCAGATTATATCGCATGGTTTACAACTTGGCGGCGGCACCGGTGCGATAGCGTGTACAGCCTCAGTGAAATATCATGTACAGCCGCTCTACACTTACGGTGAGTATATTTTTAATAACAATGAATATTTAAAAGGTCAGGCAAAAGCGTTGTGTATACATATTTATACATGTATATAATATTCGTAGTTATTTCAAGATATTTTTAGCATTCTCAAATCAAATGAAATCATTTCCACATTATTATAGTTACATATATTTTGAAATAAAATTTAAAATCTTGCAATTTTAATTTTAAATTATACTTTAATAAAAAACACTTTATTTTTTCTATAACTATTGGACTAGACATTACCGACATCTTGCAATGGAAATTCAGACGGTAAACTACTAGTAGAATGAAGCCATATATTATTTTAACTGCACTTTGCATGTCGTAAACCCGATTTAATATTTTATTTCAATAACATAAGAGTCATTTTCGAATATACATGTAGTGATTAGAGAACAACAACGGCAAAGACATAGAGTAGGAGAGAACTATTTACTCTAATTGAGCAAAATGAGTCGGGAACTAAGAGACAAGTTATACGTATTAAAGCACTTAGTTTAAATTATTTTATTTTTCGCCAAAACTAAATTGCAGTTGGAGAAAGGGTATAATTTAGACATATAAAAATCTATGAACATCTTAAACTTTCCTTTGTAAAGAAAAACTTTGAAAGCTTTGTAATTAAAAGATTATTTGAAGTATAATTGAAAGACAAAAGTCAAAATTAAAGTGTCTCTGTAACTTAGTTTTAATTATTTTTTTACAAAGATAAATTTTAGTAGGTACTGTCTATCTACTGTCGATGTATAAAACTAAAGTTGTCATTTATTAATACTCTTTAAATCAATTATATTTTTTACTAACTAACAAATTGCATAGCTGTTAGCAAAAAATAAAATAATTAATAGTTAATAAAATATTTCTTTGAAATTGTATGTTCCCTAACATAATTTCATGAGTGTGATACTTTGCTAGTTAGCGATTTTTTTGAACTAACTAACCAACTAAAATGAGTAGTTACGGACTTCATGTTGATAAATGAAAACTGCATATTTAATTTCAAGCATGTATCTAATGATACAGAAAAAAATTGCCAAAAAAATTTTATCTGGGAAAAGTTATCTAGCCAAAAAAAACTGGTGTCAGCCATAATCCAGCGTTCACTACAGAGTACAGACAACACTGGTATGCATTTTGCTAAAACGTTTTTCAAATACTATTGAAACTAAGCCTTCTATGAAGCAGAACATAGCATGGATTTCCAGTAAATGAATAAGTGTGGAGCATAGTCTATACATATAATAAAATTGTAACTAAGCCGAATCTATTCGTTAGATATTTTTTGGAAAATCTTATTGAAATAAACATTATTATCGATACAGAGGCCTAATCTATGAGTTTTTGAATTTTTGTTTGTCTGTCCGTCTGTCTGTCTGGTACCGCATCACAGAAAAACCACTGGAGGGATTTTGATGAAATTTGGTATGGTGATAGCTGGTTATCCGGGTCAACATATAGGATACTTTTTATCGCGGGAAAATATCTCATTTCTGAGAAAAAATACAAAAACTGCAATGTAAGAGTATACTAATATGTAAAACCTAAGAATTTGGTTTTTGATCATCTGAACGCGGACGGAGCCGCGGGCAATGCTAGTTGCATATGAATTCTACAACTGACATATTAACTTAGTTTCAGACAATGTAACGACACAATTTAAAGCCACAATAGGAAATGTTTATCGTAAAATAAATATCGTCTCCACTTCGCTATTTACTAAGGATGCAATGTAATAAAAGGAAATGCTAGTCTCCAATGAGAAAACTCAAAGTTGTTTCATAATGTTTCATATAATAGTAATTCTTTATAATTCATGTTAATAATAAAATTTGTTCAAATTATAAAATTTTCAAACACTTATCATTAACTAGTCGTATATTTACTTTTTAGATAAGTTTCAATACTATCAACAAATGCCATAATACATACTTATTGTGTATTTTTCCCCTCACTTATGCCTTCTTCAAATATATTTTATACATACGAATATGCTTGTATATTATGCTCGTATTAAGTAGTATTGTAAGCAGGGACATTGAAATTATTCTAGTCACTGAAAAATATCAATAACAATATACACAACTGGTTAATTTCATAAGTATTTTTTTTATCAAGCGTAAATAAATACTAAAACCGTATTAATATAAGTTTAAAATGAAATAGAAAGCTATATTGTTTAGATATTATTTTTATATTAGAGCTTTTCAATTTAATCCCATTATGGCCGATAAAAAAAACAATGAATTCAAAATTTTATTGCGGAAGCTGCGTTACCTTGCCTCTTTTGCGAGATATGTGAACAGTATCAACACGCAGGTATACACGGCCAAAACACATTTCATCGTACACATAAAATAGCGGGGAATGGGAGTAACCATTGACAAACAACTTTACATACATCATGCTCAAACAATAAACACTGTACTGATTCGTAATGTAAAGGTACTGTTTTGTATGGGCAAGTCATAGTTAAGAGGCAACATTTAATGAGGTCGATAAATCTACTATAAAATTGCCCTTGAAAATAATTATTACAACACTTTTTTTACTAACGGTAACTTAAGTTTAGGTTATAGTCTATCGGTGTTCTTTTTTCAGCCGTTACAGCCTGAAGGAAAAACAAACATACACATAAACTCTCACTTATACTTTTTCCATTTATAATAATAACTGTAGTAATTTTATTTATTTAAATGTATGATAACCATATTATGTAGATTATTTCATGAAAATTTTAAACAGTAATTTAGTTTAGAATTTAAATAAGCAACTCATCGTTTCGAGATTATCACGAAAACTTACTCTTCCACTTTTTAGGTGTTGTACACATCGGTTGGAGCCAGTCGTCGAAAAAGTTTGAGACATTTTTTATCTGTGAAAACATATTGAAAATCATATTGAAGAAATAAATCAAACTACGCTCAATATGATGCTTTATGGTCAAATATTAAAAACGTGACTTCTTATCTTTTTTAGATAAATTCTCACCACTTAGCATTTATTTCCACAAAATTAATTTTAAGTATTTATTATTTTATCGGTCCTTTCAATACTTGAGGTTTTGTTAGTATCCACTTTTCTATTTTAATATGAATAATCGTAAGTTTCACAATATCTTGATCGTAACACAATATTTGTTTGAATAAAAACAATACGATTTCTTAAATAAAAAATGTATCTTAACTTTTAAATAACATAATATCAAAAATACTTATTGGATTAGGTGTTTCCAAAAGGGAACAGATGTTTCTAACAATTAGCTATCATTATTAGCATAAAAATTAATTAAAGTGGTTTAAACTATTTGAGTAGATAGTATGAGTTATAAATTATGTAAAGTTGTTTTCAAGTTGTTCAAAAATAAATGTACCTACAAAGTGCTTTTAGCATATTCGAATATTGCGACTATAATAAATTCTGAATGAGTTTTAACGAATTACGCCGAGGAATATATTATTCAAGTGAATTAATCAGTTATATATAACTAGCAACTTACCCTCGCTTCGCTCGGATGCTTTAAACAGGGTTATTGGTAATTCGACGTATTTCCGTTAGGAGGTGATAGGGGTGACTATTTGCGATAATTTTAACCCCCATATGCATTGCCACCTCGACGACACCCCGACGACACCGGAACGCACAGCACACAGACAGACAGACATTTGAATTTTATTTTATTTACACTAGTTATTGCTTTTAATTAACGTTTTAAATATAAATAAAAAAAATTATTGTGAGTTTACGATTATACGAAAAATAGTTATTGTGGGTTAGAAACTACACATGCTGAACTTTTCCGTAGGCCCTTTTAAAACGTACAATTTTCTAATACTATGGCAATGGTAGCCCAGTGATAACGCGCTCGCTTAAGAAACCGAGTGGAGCAGGTTCAAATCCCGGGTCTCGCACCTCTGATATTTTCATGTGCGAATCATTTTCTAACGTGATTACCAAATTTGTCTTACGGTGAATGAAAACATCGTGAGGAAACCTGCATATCTGGGAAAACCTAACTAGTTTTCGAAAAATATGTGAAGTCCGCCAACTCGAACTTAGCCAACGTGGTGGACTATGGCCTGATCCCCCTCGTATTAAAGAGAGGCCAGTGCCCAGCAGTGGGACGTTAAAAGAGGCTGCGGAATACACCATTTTCTAGTACATTGTTTTAATATATCTCTTAAGTTTTAGCAAGCGTTAATTCATTGTGGTAGTTCAGCTGTTCTGTACAAAATATTGAGTAATTATATACACGTTCCTGGTTTATTAATGATAGTTTTATTTTAGTGTCTGGAAGTCGGTTTTTATTAATTTAAGAAACTACTTTTTAATTATATTTACTCTATTTAGACTCTAGACATATTAATATAATAAAGCTGTTTGTTTGGTTATTTGAACGCGCTAATCTATGAAGCTAACGACATACTCGTAAATAGAAAAAAATATTTCTACATGTTCATAGGATTACCAAAAAAGCAATCTGATACGACTCTACATCCCTTAGGAGCAAAAAAATTATACATAAATAATAATTTACGCGATTGGAGTCACGAGCGAAATCGAGTACTAATATTTTTTTGATTTACATAAAAAAATTATATGCCTGGGATTTTTTTAACTATAATATAACTTCTTGCTAATCAAAAGCCTTTACACCTCGTTGATTTATGATACACGGTGTTTCTGTAAATTGCGATTTCCCTGTTGTGTGGGTCTAATGACATACGATTCATAATCATAAGAGTTATTTTGACTGCGAAAATGGGAACATATGTAGGGTATAATAAACATAACCAACTAGCACTCAACATAATGATTTCAGGGCGGATTGTGTTCTATATTGAATTCTCTTTGACATGAAATCCGAAGGTAAAATGTCGTTCCAATTGCATTTTGTTGACACAATAACCTTTGCTAGAATATTTTACAAAATTGTGAAATATAAAACCTTTTTAGTGTTTTTATTTCACAGATAAAGGATATCCAATGTTAAAGTACCTAACTGTATTCCTTTATCGCTTACTTTAAAACAAAACTTAATTTTAATGTTCTCTTATATACGTAGTAAATATAGTAGATAGTTTCTGATCTTAATATTTTACAGTGTGACCTCTTACTATGTAGAGACTAATTACAATCACAAAAATGAAAGTACTGATAATCATGTCACATCAAATTCACTAAGTAATCTGGACCAAACGTTTCATATTAATTTCAATACATTATGCCGGAATTTCTACGCTTTGTTTTCTTGTAATATACATTTTATGTTTTTTGAACTGTTATATATATTTTTCTCTCAGTCCTGGAAGCGAAAATCCTTTTGCACAATATAAAAAGTCAACTTCGAACTTCACAACGATAGCTATCGCTTTCACCACAATTAGTAGATTAAGATTATTTTAAACATATTGTCGTAAAGAGATCAAACTGATGGGTAG